CTTGGGTGCCCTTCTGCTCTTCTTATGCTGCAATCACATAATTACAAGTCCAAGAAATCCAGCGTTGCCTTCTCTTGTCCTGCTGTCCTCCCGCAGGTCTTGTCCCGTGCCGCCATCTTCCATCATATATCCCAGGAGGCATTGCTATCCTCCATTCATTCATTCCGGCCCCAGGTCTATCTGTGCGGGCGTCAGATCTGCTCCGGGTCTATATACATGAATGGACGATATTCTCCTCCTGTAGCTTCCCGGTGACGCTGATATCGGAGGAAGCTGCAGGAGGAGAATGAAATGTCATTCATGTCGGAGGTGAAAATGGGAGCAATTATCAACAAGCCGTGATGAATGGGGCATTTTCTGGCCCCACGAAACGTGTCGGTGACGTGACAAAACCTTTTATCCCAATTCAAGCCGGAATAAACGTAACCTGAACAATTCATTCTCAGTGCCGCGCTTCAATCTCAGATCCGTTTGGCGACAATCCAAGGTGAATGTGGAGATCGTTTGGCACAGAGAAGCTACCAGCCCAGAGCCCAGACACACCGACCAACATATATACCAACAGGATATCCCTGGGGACCCTCCTCCATCTTCCCTGGATTGTGTAATGGTGTAACAAGGGGAGGACCTGGGTATCAGGTAAAGAGGGCTAGGTGGTTGTGTTGGTCTAACGAGGGTTAGGACGTTGTGTCGCTGTAACAAGGGCTAGGTGGTGGTGTCAGTGTAATGAAAGTTAGGATATGTCGGTGTAATGAGGGCTAGGTGGTTGTGTCGGTGTAATGAGGGCTAGGTGGTTGTGTCGGTGTAATGAGGGCTAGGTGGTTGTGTCGGTGTAATGAGGGCTAGGTGGTGGTGTCAGTATAATGAGGGCTAGGTGGTTGTGTCGGTGTAATGAGGGCTAGGTGGTTGTGTCGGTGTAATGAAAGTTAGGAGGTTATGTCGGTGTAATGCGGGCTAGGTGGTTGTGTCGGTGTAATGCGGGCTAGGTGGTTGTGTCGGTGCAATGAGGGCTAGGTAGTGGTGTTGGTGTGATGAGGGTTAGGTGGTGGTCGTTGTGCTGGTGTAATGAGGGCTAGGTGGTTGGCTGTGTTGGTGTGATGAGGGCTAGGTGGTTGTGTTGGGGGGGGATGATATGGGGGGGTGTGATGGAGGATGGAGAATGTGATAAAGGGAAGGAGGAGAGGTATGAGTATATGTAATGGGGTCAGGTGCGCGATATTTGAGATTTATTTGGGGAGGGGGGTACCACACACACACAGAGGTGACATGGCGGGAGATGGGATGTAGTAGATATGACATCACTCAGCTGTCAGTCCTCCATACAGCAGTAATAATAATAAAACAATCATTTCCCAGTCATAGATAAGCCGCGGCTCACTCCACTCCTCTCACCTCCGCCCGCTCCTCTGCGCATGGCTGTTGGTAATAAAGTTACGCGGATTGAACAGAGACAGTGGGCGAGGCCAGGAAGGCAATTGCCATGGTAACGGCTGCAGGAGGAAGTGCGGAGTGTTTCCGGGTCAGAGGTGTGTAGGCGGCACGTTTCCTGGGACGGAGGCACGGTAATGTGACGGGGAGGGGATACGGTGGGTGGACATCGGGTGCGGGAGTGACATACACACCGCCATTACTTCGTGGAGACACCTAATCTCCATTTGGCGATGTCAGGGGAGAATCCCAGCATGCATTGCACAGGAGGCCCTGACGCATTATCAGCCCGGGGGCCCCATGCATGGCATCTGTGTTACTTCATAACAGTCAATCACATCCAGACCTCCATTCTTACTCTGGGCAGAGGGAGTTCAACTACCCCCCACCCCACAGTCCAACACCAATTCAGTGAAAGTAATAAATATAGTATAAAGTATATAAAATCTGTGTTTATATTGCCTTCCTGTCTGTGTTCCCCTGGCCTATTTGATTTCTTGCCATTGAACTGAAGAGCTAACAATCAGATTGGTCGGAACATTCCAGGCGGGGAGGTGTTGGCCCAATTGCGCAACAAGAAGATTCAGGGGGTCCATCAAATCCTAATACAACAAGCTGCATTGTCCATGATAAGTTCTGGTCCCGGTCACTGTGTTACTACATGGAAGACTATCATGGACCCCATTACCTACAGGGGCCCCTTCCCCAAGTGTCAGGGTCTGAGACAGCATGGTGCCCCCAGTGGCAGAGGCTGCATGCCAATGTGGTGACCCCAGACTGTGCCTGTGGCCAGTATTGGCTCTGGTATTGTGCTTGTGGGGCCATGCACACTACTGGCAGCATGCGGGGGATTGAGATCAGTCACTGTGCTCGGGTGCACATGCTCATTGCATGGGCAGCATGTAGGGAAGCATGATCTGGTGCTGTGCTGGGGGCCCATGAGTAGTACAGCCAACACACGCACAATCATGGGACATGTATTCCCAATGCATTAGACTACAGTAACAGTTCAACGCACACCAACGCACATGTACGGTAAGAACAGGGCACATAGAGAACAACTTGTTTCTGTGTGTCCTAGCTGTGAGCTTCCATTGATTGATATGTTCAGGCTGCCTGTAACTTGACCTCAAGCTCTATGCTGACTCCTGAGAAAGGTAGTCGGTGTATCGCGAGAGTTAGAAATTCCATCTACAAACTGTTGTTGCCATGGTTACAAGGAATAATCCCTGTTGTGTTATTGATTTTTCTTCCTGTTCTTCTTGCTTGGGATGTTCTTTACAGGCGGATCTGACAGCCAGTGTTGTATCATCATCATAGGAGCCACATTCACTGTTGTATCATCATCATAGGAGCCACATTCACTGTTGTATCATCATCATAGGAGCCACATTCACTGTTGTATCATTATAATAGAAGCCACATTCACTGATTTGGAATCCTTTCCCTCCTCACAGATGGCATCCCAATTACAGGAGAAGTTACAAGCTGAGGTGACCAAGTATCAGCAGTTACAGAAAGGTGAGCTATGGAATGATGAGGGCGCCGCTTGTCTCTGGTAAAAGGAGTCCATCATGAAGTTTAATCCACTTATATTTTTCCTTCCCTGGTCTCCCCCTCCCCCCTTCATCAACATGATAATAAAATGTTTAAATTAAATTGTATCTTATTCTTAGACCCAGTGATGTCATCACTGGATTTCTGTGCTTCTCTATGCAATTCAGGCAGATCATAGCTGGTGGGAGGGACTGGCAGGTGGCTGTACATAGCTTCCTGAGGACATCACAGCACCCTGCCTCAGTACTTTTCTCAAGAGTCCTCAGCTGTGAAACAAGCAGTGGGCTGGTTCTTAGGAGGAGCAAATATGAAAATACCATGATGGGTGGGTGTCACTCTGGAGGTTTGGGTGTTTCTAGGCAGACTACATTTGCATGCAGACCAACCTAAGCAATGCCCGCGTGTGATGCTGAGCCTCTCTGATTGAAAGAACTAAAATCCATGAAAGAAAGGTGTGGGCCTGAGACAGTCTGGGGCGGAAAGGGCTAGGTGATGCCATCGTCCTCCAGCCAGGAAATGGGACGGGCTCTCACTGACTTGCTGCAGTGCATTGTGAGAAGCTGTGAAAAGGAGATTCTTCTCGGTTCCTAAATGGTCAATGAGACCGGAAGTGAGAGGCAGGTGGCCCCAGTGGAGACAGAAGAGGGCAATAAAACCTCCATCACTCTACACAGGGGCTGCATGTAACTGAGAGAACTGTTTTTGGAAGTACTTGCTGTGCCTAAAACCTAAATGTTAAGGGAGGAATGAGAACTAGTTTCAGCTTCTGTTCTCTCACACCGGTTTATTCACCTGCGTCCCGCTGTCTTGTTGCAGATATCAGCACTAGTATGTCCGCTCGGCAGAAGCTGGAGGCCCAGGTCACCGAGAACAACATCGTAAAAAAGGTGAGTCTGTGCTATGTAAATCCCCCGAGCAAGACTCTGGCAGCCCGCGGCATTTCCAAGGCCAGAACCAGGCCATCCTGGGAGTTTTTAAAGGGCAGAAATAGGGGGTGGGGTGCGACTCGACATTTTCAAGGCCAGAACTGGATCAGGCCAGGACTGTGACGGCTCATAAGTTTTGAAGGCCAGGGCTGTGAGAGCCCAGTGGATTTGGGGGCCAGGGCCGGAGGGGATTTGGGAGGGCCGGGCCTGTGAGGGCCCAGGGGATTTTGGGGAGCCGGGCCTGTGAGGGCCCAGGGGATTTGGGGGGCCAGCGCTCTGACAGCCTGGGCATTTCAGTTTCTAAAGGCATTAGGTAGTCTTTAGGCTCCACCCATACAACATCTTGATCAATGGTTGGCTTTATGATGTATTAAGGAAACTCTCTTTTGTCACTTTTTTTTTTTTTTCTGTGAAAATGATCAACTTAAAGGAGAACTATGGGGAAAAGCCCTGACCCCATAGTTCTCCTTTTTAATGATATTCTCAGCATTTGTTATAATAGTAATGACATATAGTATCTAGATGGGATACTGAGAACCTTCCCTATGTATTGCTTTCTGTATATTCCCCATAAGATGACCTCACTTACTGACTTCCGATCCTCTGTAATAGATATACAGCAGATAGCGGAGTGTGTGGATTTAGCGTATACATGTTGTGTGTATTTCCAGGAGTTGGGGTTGCTGGATGACAGTAACATTGTGTATAAGCTTATCGGACCGGTGCTGGTGAAACAGGACCTGGAGGAAGCCAAATCCACGGTGGAAAAGCGATTGCATTATATCAATGGAGAAATGTGAGTTACTGACATCCGTAAGAGATCTACTGTATATGTCCTGATTGCTCTGCTTTCTTCCCTGAATCCTTCCTTGCGGTCAGTTTAAAGAGGAACTCCTAGCAGACAGCCTAATACACGGATGATACATACAGTATATTCTGTTTATCCAATCCTGGTGGCTCCCACAGCCAGCCCTGTAACACTGCACAGCCGGGCCAGGGGCGTCCATTCCTCCTGCTTCCTGTGTGGGCAGTGAATTATCATCATGTGTAATGAGTAAGGAGGAAGTGGGAAAAGCTGAAGCAGGAAATAGCAAAGTAACCCTCTTAGCTGTGTAGTGCAGCGGAGGTATGTGAATCACAAGACTGAATAGGGCCACAAATCCTTTGGCAAAAAAAAACAAAAACAGTAAATGCATCTATTTGGCCCGGAGTCACACTTTAAGAACTTAGTTGGGATGAGGACTCTGCTCTGTAATACATTGGGATAAACATTTTGCAGTTGAGCAACTCAGATGTTTTACACACACACACCTCCCGTGACCATCATGTGACCACTGTCACAGCGATCATGTGATTGGGTAGCTTGTCTCCTGTCACTCAGAACCCATTAAAGGGCCTATGGGAGCCAGGGTCATGAGGTTGCAGGCGTGGGCTTCAGAGTCATCATCCTAATTCTGGGTTCAGATTAATGTCTCACTAGATTGTGAACAAGTGTGCACGGGTGAGAGGGACACCCAATCATATGATCACTTTGACAGCCAATCACAATGATCACAAAGGGCGCCTCCTGTTGATCAGAACCCCATAAAGACCAGCAGAAGCCAGTGCCAAGGGGTTACTGGTGCAGGGCTGCAGGGGCATCATCTTGACTTTAGATTCGCAGTCTAGTGCAGGGATGGGCAACTCCGGCTCTCCAGCTGTTGTGTAACTACAAGTCTGCAAGACTGACAGTTACAGGATACTCCCAGAGGTAGAGGCATGTTGCGATTTGTAGTTTAAGCACAGCTGGAGGGCCGGAGTTGCCCGTCCCTGGTCTAGTGAGACATTGATCTGAACAAATGTGCAAGTCTGGTGGTTTCACTTTATTGGCTACATGCACAGTCAGTGAGTCACTTAATGATGGAGCCAATGTAAAGGGAACCAGCTTCAGCGTCTGTACCTTATCACACCTTGTACAGCAACAACATCTTTAGTACGGTGTGCGCCGGATCATCATCTGATGGCTCGGGACATCCTGATAACAGGCTCACCTAGAGCTGGCACTTGTAGTGTCTGGTTGGAGTGATCGTATAGGCTGCAAGGACTGTAATGTCCCCTTCACATGCTTGCTGTCCCTTATTTCACACGTCCTGTGTATGAGTGTGCTAGAAAGTAAAAGGTGTTAAATATAAGCAGGGCTTGAAACCTTTTGGGGTGTTTTACCAGTCAGTCATGACCGGACTATAGCCTTGCGATTTATTTTAAAAATTTTTGGGGACAGATAGAGCTTTCTTTTGGAGGTATAAAATCACCACGGGGGGGGGTGTTTTTTTTTACACTTAACAAGCTCCCTATGTAATAGCCAATTTGTAGTGACAGGTCCTCCTTTATGGAGATCTCAGGGATCACCTAGGGACCCCCAGAGAAGTCGATGAAGCAGAGATCTGCTGGAGAGTGACAGCAGAATGTGGAAGTGATGTCATATACATCAGTGCTCCCCAACCTTTTTATCGCCGCGGAACGTTTAATAATTTTTACCGTGGCCCGCTGATCGCACTGAGACTGTGCGGCCCGGTACCATTTGATCCGCGGACCGGGAGTTGGGGAACACTGATATACATCACTTCCTGCATTCGGGTATGGGAGAGGAGATCAGAGTGAGATCGTGTACCGATCTCCTATCACAGAGCAGCCGTGCCGGTCCCGACCGCACCGGGCACAGCGGATCTCGGGGACCGGCAGCTGCTGCAGCTAATACAAGCTATCGGGCATCTCTGGAGACGCCCGATCTCTTGAATTTAAAGCCCCCGGCCGGCCCTTTAATTACAATGGCCGGCCGGAAAGCTGCTCGTCAGGCTCCGGCGTCCTTTTCGTCACAGGCGAGAGGACGAGCAGATTTTCAAGCCCTGAATATAAGTGATATCACCCCTGTACCCCACATAACTGTTATTCATTCTGCTATCTCCCTTCTTCTGTTCCCAGTAAGCGATATGAGACTATGCTGAAGGACATGGAACAGAAATCAGAACAGCAGCGGGCTACCCTCACTAAACTGCAGCAGGAGTACCAGCGGACACAGATGAAGGGACCAGTGAAGCCCTAAGATGGGATATAGGGAACATTCTATTGTATCGCTTTATTTATGTACTCGTTGGGGAGGGTCTCTTCTGCGGTGGATCCGGAACTTTCCATGCCCCAACGAGCCACAGTTTGTCCTTTTTTGCTGTTTTTACACTGAAAATCTAGCAGTGACTTTCTTGTAGGTTTATGTGCAATTAAACATGATACACTTATTTTCTGCTCGGTGCCGTTTGTTTGAGTCGCTCATTCAGGTTCAATAAAAAATATTTCTTTTATTGTCCATTGAGGGGCACAGGAGTGCTCAGAATTATTTATTAGTTATACAGCTTTGTACAGGAGAATCGGTGTAACCCGACAGTCTAAGAATTCCTGTGTCCCTCAATAGAGTCCAAGAAAAGGATTTTATGGTAAGTACAAAAATCCTGTTTTCTTTTTCGTCCATTGAGGGACACCGGAATTCTTACTGTCGGGTTATTCTGATTTCTTTGTAGCTCTCAGTATGTCTCTAAGGGTCTCTCAATGGACCCCCCAAAAAAAGGATTTACCAGAGATAGATATATTCGATATATAATATTTTTTTCTTCTAATGTATGTTTTTGCAGGGCACCTGTGATTTTATTTATATATAATCACACTGATACCACTTCTTTTTTTTTTTTTTATAAATTCTTTATTTAGGTAAGATTTTCACAGAATTCAAGGGTATCACAGCAGGGGAGGAAAAAGAAAAGATGTACACATTTTACATAAGAATACAAAGGGAAAAATGCAAGGTGCGGCAACGGCCCCACATGGGTCCATGAGAGCAGGGTGAAGGTTACAATGCAGGTTATACGGGGGCATAAGTATCTAATCTAGACCCATACTTCAGTTGTAGGAAAAACATGCGGGGATCCTGGTTGTTGTGTCAATGAAGTTGGCTAGGAGAGGTGAACAAGGTCCTCCGCTTGAGTGCTACTGCGGAGGTATGAAATCGGGTCTTGCTACTATCTGAGGGTATAGCAGCACTGAGGCTGCGGGGAGAAGGGAAGGCTGGAGAATGGGATACAAGAGGGATGTGTGGTTGGGGGGGAGGTGGGTGAAAGAGGGGGGAGCATAACAGTCAGGGAGGGGGAGCGGAGAAGTGGCGCAGAGTGTGCTCTGTCTTGGAGATCTACTCAACGTGTCCTTGGCGTAGGGCCACATACCAATACCACTTTTTTAAGACCGAGTACCAATACTTTTTTTCAAGTACTCACCGATACCAATTACCGATAAATGGACAGGTCACATTTTTTCTAAAGCAGTACAAAATCATGATTTTAGGTCAGTTTCTTATTATGAAGAACATGAAATGAATATTTATCATGACATTGCTAACTAAGGCTTGTATCCCCATAGTGGGGAAAATAGATGAGCACATGCCCAGACTCCAGACCAGAACACTGTGTGGCACAGCTATATCCAATTCTGCATACCTGGCTTTATATTATAAGAACTTTAAAATATAAAGCCAGGTATGCAGAATTGGATATAGCTGTGCCACACTATACAATAATACACTGTTCTGGAGTCTGGGCATG